ACAGGACCTTTGGAGAATTTCCTAAAGCCATGGATCCACGTGGGAAGGACTGCTCACGCAAAGCACAAAACCAGACAGGGTCTTGTCATCCAAGTAACTGTGGACAACTTCACTTTGTGCTCAGAAAGGAGAAAGAGTTGCTGTATTTCACGTTGCAGGGAATGTGGTTTTGCAGGAGGGCAAAAAGGAGGACCCTCTATTCAGGTGGCAGTCAAAGGGAGCAGAGAGTGCTCAGCCGCCTGTCGGAATTGGCCCTGTATTGGTTACACCCCCAGCTATTTGAGGTAAAACTTGGCCTCTCAAAGCTCTCTCCTGCGCCTTTGTATTCTCTAGAAGGTGAAGCGTAAGGGTATAAAAAGCTGCAAACAAGTTCCTACCTCTGGAGACCAGGCATTTACTCTAAGAAAGAAAGACCAATTGCTTCCCAGAGCATTGTCCACCCACATTAGAGAAAGGATTAAGCAGATACATTCAGCTATTCTAACAGATTTTCTTTAAACCTTGAATACGTCTCTCACACTTGGTAAGATAATCACATTAGTTTTGTCATTAAAAGATCCCTTTTATAGAAAGTACCTAAACCGCTTAAACCACCCAGAGAGGTCGCATACATTAGAAAACAACAAGACAAACGGAAGGGATTTGCTATTCCCAGTCTCAGTGTTTCGCTGCCCCTACTTTCTAAACTGGGGGATGGAACGAAAAGATTTTGCAAATCACCAGTGGAGGGAAAAGTCCCAGAGAGCTGGGCAGCCCCCACCCGCCCTGGGGAGCCCTCACTCCCCACTGAGGAAACACTTGGGCATAGCACTGAGGACTATGGAAAATATATTTTTCCATATGGGGAGGCCCACAGGTTACACCTGAAGCACCCCTGGTCTGAAAATCTGGCACCCAAGACCCAACTGATAAGCAACAGCTGATGTAACTTATTACTGCCTTGGAGAGCACAACTATAAGGTGCTCCATGCTAAAGGAGCACGTTCTCCCTCTTTCCCGCTGTGGGCATTGCTCTTTCTGTATCACACCCCAGGACTACAGGGACCACCATCACAGGGCTGCAGAGCGGACAAAGCAGGTCCCCAACTCAGCAATGCCCAGGGTAGCAATGAAATTAGCTTTCAGCAATCTAACTAATGTTGTAAAGCAATTTCTTCATTGGACATGTATTATTGAAAGGATATAGAGAAGGAAACTGCCCTAAAGCATGTGGATCAAATAATTTCAGATTTGCTGGTAAAATAAGTTGGGCTGGGAGGAAAAAAAAAAAGAAAGGCTGACTTGGAGCTGCAACACTGATGTTCGTGCAGCTGGAAGCAGTGCTGTGAAATAGAGGAATCAAAATAATATAGGAGCACAAGTCTACTCAGACCAGTAGAAGCTGCAATGCTCAGCATCTTTACATGATAAAACCAGAATTTTTTAACAACAAAAGGGGAAAATTGAAAAGCACTTAAGCACTGTGAATTTACCCCAGATATCGTCCTTGGTTCATATCTTTTGCCATTGTTTCACTGCTCAGGTAACACCAGGTAACACATTCTCTCTTAACCTGCACTGCCAAAACAGACCATTTCAGTTTTTTTTAAGAGAGACAGTCTTAAAAAAGCTGGATTTGCAAAGTCATTTTTGTAAGACCAAGGTATTGGTTTAAAAATAGACAAAGAGGTTAGATTATTAAAAATCTCAAAAAACCCTAGAGGCTGCAATAGTAACACCCAGTAATATGCTAAACATCTACACCAGTGGCACTATCACAGCAAATGACAGAGACAGAAGTGGAATGGAATTCAAACAAACCCTCCAAAGGTTCATTTATATATTTTTCCTATGAAGTAAAAATCATATATGCATGGTTTCAACTCCAGAATTATTTCTATTTTAGGGAGCAGCAGCCTGTTTCAGGAAGATGAGACAAATGCGTTACTTGCTCAGCTCTGCAAGGACCTATTTTGTTATTCCAGCAGCACTCACCATGGTCTTTTAGTACATTCCTTCAAGCTGGTTATGTCTGTGAGTGCAAGTATCATCGGGTCGCAAGTATGAAGAGCTTCAGGCATATTTTAAGCTTACATGACCATAAAAATCTTTCATTTTTCCTCTAAACACAGGGTTTCATGAATGCATGCCCCTAGTTACAGTATAACAATGATATTCTGAATCAACACTGGAGAGTGAAAAATGGAGGCTTGGAGTATAGAATCTCCTGTGCTCTTTCATCCCATGTTTAGTGCTTTCATAGTGTCCTACTGACTGTCAGAAAGGCACAGTGATTCCACCATTAGTCCTGCAAGGAGCTAAAATATCTGAGTATCTACGTGCAGTCTTTAATATACAGAAAACTCTTTAGGTTATTCATGATTCCTTAGAGACTAGACTTACAACAGCTAAATACCCTTTTTAAGAGCAGAGGTGAAAAAAAAATCCCTTTACTTAAAGCATACTGACACTTGTCTGCAACATCCTTTGTGGGTAGACAGCATGGGAGACAAAACTCAATTCTCATTTTTCCTGTAATTTAGAATCCATGCTCCAGGAGGGACTTTCCTTTCTATACTCCTCTTTGTCGATGCAATATTTCATCATCTTCAAAATTAAAATTACCTTATAAACAAAGTGAGTTGAAGAACATATTTAGCTCTCTCCCTAGACTCTACAGCCGTAGCCCTGCCCTATTAACACTTTGGGCTGCATAGCTCAATTATACCTCTCCTTGCCAGGTCAGAGGGCATTACAGATCTGTCCTGACAACCTTCCTCATCATGGATATGTAGGAAGTCCGTTTGCTTGGGATTGAAATAAGCTTTCAAAGTGAAAGTGGACTTTTCCCCATTGTAGGTAGCTTGATTGCATTCACTGTGGTCACCTATGGAGAACAACCAGCTCATACACCTGCTCCTCCTCACACAGCCAAACCTCTGAAGTGAGAAACCACCGAAGGAGTGCAGAGCCTCACCACCTGTCATCCTGACTGCCACTCCTGATTTCCATAACTAGTTTTCCTCCTGCTCCAACAGTCAAGTGCAAAGAAGACAATGTCACTGGCAGAACTCTGAATCTGCCAAAGGATAAAAATCTATGTCTTTGCAAAACAAAATCCAGTTCCAGATACTCCATATTCCATTATTCTAACACATTTTTATTGACACAAACTGCAGGTTCATCAGTAAGATTCATGCTTGGGGGAAAGCATTCATTCTTTTTCCTTCTGCATTTTCCCCAGTGAGTGGGAAACATACAGTTTTAAATTCCAATAATTTCTGACTTACATAAGCCTGAGATGAAGTATGGTCCATCATCATATAACTGGAAAGACAAATCAACCGTTTGCCATGGCCCAACTTGTTCTTACCTGTATGAAACACACAGGAGAGCCAACATTTAGCTGAAGTAGCCAAACCACAAATCTTGGTAGCATTCAGGGATGTGTACATGGATTTTAAGATGAAGTCTGAATGTTTGAGATAAATAAGACCTAAAATTTCAACTACTCAGTTTGATGGGAAAAAAAGTAAAAAGTAGGATCAATTAAAAATAACATAAAAACAAGTCACCTAATTTATAAGCTGGTCCAAGCAGTAAGAACCTGATCCAAAGGGCACCTAAATCAGTCTCACAGACAGAAACGGAATGGAATAGTAAGATTATTTTAAAAAACACAAATAAACAAAAAAACCATAACCTATTTTTTGTTTTAAATGTCATTTCGCAAAACTAAAAGTTGAAAAATTGCATGTTGTTTTAAGTGTTACTGAAGGTAACTTTTTGGCTTATGAAAGGAATGAAAAGAGAAAGAAGAGAGGAATGAAATTCTAAATTACTTATGCTGCTTGAAACTAAAAAGTATTTTCCAAAAAACAAAGCAGCAGCTATTTCCTGAGATGGTAAGTTCACTAGCGGGGAAGAGAGAAGACACAAGCTGATTAACAATATAGAGTTAATTTGTTCACAGCCCCATGCATGAATATCCCCACGTCTTTATCAATATAACATGAAAACGCTTATCCCAAAATCTGCACTTGGAGTAGCACTCTGAGCAATTCATGGGAACAGTTGGACCAGGCTCTTGCTTGCTAAATTAAATAATTTCTGATCCCCAAATTTATATTTACTTTTACCAGTTTCCTTCCCTGGCTTGCAGTAAACTAGGACATCAATTAACATGTCAGAAGATACAATAGTATTTCTACAAACTTCACTATAATGCACTTAATTAAAAAACCAATAATTTTTATTAGTTTCAAAAAAGATCAAGGACATCATGTTACTATAAAGTCCATGAGTGAGAGAATATTTGAAGTAAAAACTGGAACTACTGGAAAAGCAATCACCAACAGCTTTCAGGCAAATCCTGCATAGTTCTTCCTTCACCCCTGTGCTTCTTCTCTGGTCTTGTTCTCTATAGTTTTTCTAAGTAATTACCTTGCTCGAAAGCATGAGAGGTTCAGATTGCAGAGTCTGAACATAAATTACATGTTTAACACAAGACAAGGAAAAAGATGTTGTGTTGAAAAGAAGATACACAGGAGTGTTTGAAAAGATAAAAATTCAGTGTTGGGTTCGCTTTGTTCACAGAGGATAGGAAGAGACTGGAAACAGAAAAGGCCACCTGGTGTCTTAGGAAAATACTCAACTATCAGGCATATCATCAAAGCTGAGAAAACTTTTCAACAGAAATGGAATTTTAAGAGTTTGGGGACACGAAGCCTAGCCTGAGTCATTCTAAAATGGAGTTGTCCTTTAAACTGCAAAGAATCCTTTCTGAAGAAGGGCTGCAGTGTGAATGAAGCCAAAGCTGGAAAATGAGGGGACTGCCCCAGCCATTTATTAATGTCAAATATGCTGTCTCATGAATCAGGGCAGTTTGTCTGGTTTGGAATCCTTACAGAAAGCCCAGTGCACCTGGCTTGGTGAGCTCAGCATCAGGCTTTAGGCTGATCCAAGGGGATAGCTGCATTCTGTGTTTTCAATAGTTTGTCCAGCAAACAATTTTTTTTTAGAAAGGCTTTTATTGAAGAGCCATCAGCAAACAGATCATGTAGAATGTGAACAATACACAGAATGAGGGGGAGGGAGGAACCCACACAAGGCACAGCCCCAATTATTTGTCACTTCATAAGATCTAGCCAGCACAAGTGTCACATTTGCTCTTCAAGAGAATAGCTTCAAAAGCTTCCTGATTTAAAAAGCTAAGTGTTTCTGGGGGAGACACACATATACACACATACAAAATATACTCAGTTTTCTTTGGCAACCATCATCGCAGTGACAGATCTTTCAGCATTAGGACAAATAGCAAAGGAAAAAATAAAACCCTGATGCAGATTGTGCATGATCAGCCATTTATCAGCAGAGTGAGTCTGGGCCCAGCCCTGACCATTCAGTACAGCACAGAATACAAAAGCCACCTGATTAATAAGCCACAAGAAAACTAAGGAGAAAAAAATTTATATATTTATTTCTATTCCTGAACTGATTCCAAAGGGCAAGGGCTGTTTAGTTTCCTTACAAACAGCACAGCCAGCTTCCCCATGACTTCCCTGCCTCTCCACTGAACATCACAGTAAGATGTAATTTCTGTTCCTTCATTATCTCCACCAGCCTAGGATGTCTGGAATTCAATCCCACTGGAGGTAGCAGGAGTTTCATCAACAGCACTGCCATTTAATCCACTGTACATACTGGCAGTTAGAACAATCACTCAGCTCAGTGAGGAGCAAGGCATCAAGCCTAGAACAGGAACCTGTTACTACATGGTAAAGTACAGCATTTGAGAAGAGCAGAAGAGGAAAGCAAGGCAGAGCAGGCAGCTTAATCCATGAACTTGGACTGAAGTTTATCATCCGAGAATGCTCTCCATCCCTCTGCCGCCTGCTTCTCTCATGGGCACAAGCAATGGTGAGCACTGCAATGCAGGTGAGGAAGCAGGAGGGAAACACTCAAATGACCGCATTGTAAGGCCTGGTCCTACTCGCAGCAAAGCCAATAGAGGTATGATAGCCACAGTTGTTGCAGTACGACTTCAGTGACTGTGCCTGGCCTCTTCAATCCATTGCTTCATGTGGTAGATTTCCAAGGCTCGAGCTTGCTGTACAGATTTGGGGTCCAAAGGGTTACGGCTGCGTAGGTCCAGGTGATGGGCTCCCTCTGGGATCACAACCGCCACAAGGGAATTGGTGATGTTCTGGGTCACCCCACCTGCAGACCACGGGTCCAGGTCCCCATTACTATAAGGAAAGAGTATTTCATCAGGATACATGTGCACGGCAGTCAGCAGTGAAGCTGCAGCTTCACATCAACATATCCACCCAACTTTCAACTAGTTTTGCATATGTAGCAACAGAAACAGACCTCAGCCTTGTCTCAATGTCTTGTGCCCACCCCTCTGCTGAGAGGAGCCTTCTTGACAGAGGTATGGAGCTATCAGCATCTTAAGCTAGGCTACACTTCTCAATTATCTGGTAATTCAGATAATAATCTATAACAATGCCAAAGCCTCTGGAAATAAATCTGCTGCCACCCATAATTGTCATAAAAGGTTCACGTTCCCCTGTAAACAAGACATCTCCAAATTCTCAAATCAAAGCACTTCACTTTCCTTCTTCACAGTCTGCCATAAACAAATAACCTACTGAACCTCTTTAGAGCTGAACTTTCAGGAAGTTCTACATTTGCTGTCTCAGCTGGGTGCCAGCCTGGTTTTGCAAAGAAATGCTTGGACAGTCCATTAGTCCACTTATTTCTAAAAATAACCATATTAAAATGAAGCTTTTATCTCTCAAAAAACTGTCTAAAATGACTCTTCCTCTGTAACAGGACAATTTAATGCCATTTACTCCCCCTCCTCCCTCACCCCAAATCATTTGAAAGGATTCCTTGCACTATAGATATGGCTCCAAATAATAGAGCCTAGAGCAAGTCAATAGCTCAGCTGGGGAGAGAATTTTCCATCTCTCATTCCTAGCATTGGACTTGATCCAATAATCCCTACTACATTTTATTTTCCTTTACTGCAATGCTCTTCCCACACATGGTCCATCTTTCTGCACAAAGAAAACAACACCCATATATTTGTGGAACTATGCAAATCTAGATCTGTTCCTCACTCAGAGCACTGGACCTGTCCACAAAAGGAAATGTCACAGATGGGCTATGGTATACAAGGGTAAACTTCTAGATGGATCTAAGAAATTAAAATATCCTTGGACATTAAGAGATATGCAGCTAGAAAAATACCACAATGGCAGCATAAAAAAAAAAAACACAAAAAACCACCAAAAATAAAAACCCCAAAAAAACCCCACAAGAAAAATAAGGAGTAAAAAAAGAGGTTTTTAGAAATAACTAAGAGTAAAAACTTGATGGGGTCTGAACTAATACTTTACTTGTTTTACACTGAAAAAAACCCCAAGTATCTTGAGTCTCTGTAGTTCTTTACTTCCAGTGATTCTAAATATGACTTCAGACAAGAGAAACATTTTGTATCTGCAAAACAAAAAGCATAAAGAGCTGCCCAATAAACCAAATGCATTGGATTTAAAAGGTCACCTGAATCAGCAGAGCACCTTGGCAACAGGGGGATGAGTTGCTGAGAGACCCATGATGTACGTGAACTTGGATCTTTTGGTCCTAGTCATGTGGAAACTAAGCATGCCACAAGGAAACAACACAGCCTCTGCTTTTCTGCAAGATGCTGGCTGTGTCCTCTGCCAAATGATGGCACTAGAGGCACTGACGCAGTTTGGCAAGTGAGACTTGCTGAGAGGAGGGGGGATGGAGGGCTCACCACAAAATTGTAAGTCTTAACAGTTTCTACAGAATAACATAATTCAGTACCAACTAGAATGAATTACTTATGTGTTATAACTAAGCATGCGTGTAAGTACTCAGTTGCCCATCTCACGAGACAGGAATTTCCCAATGTAAACCAAAGAAGTAAAAGAAGAGAAAGAATAAAAAAGTCAGCAATTCCCTTCTAGCAGTGGCCAGGTAAGTAGGACTTTAGAAAAAACAAACAAACAAACAAAACTAATGAAAAATATGAGCATTCTAGTCCTGTTTTCAATTGCTATACTTCTTTCACAGCATACATAGGGTTCTGCCTATCTCACAGCAATCCCTTTCCTATATTCTCTTCAGTCTCCTTAGACCTCCAGCCCTGCTGCCCAGAACAAGAAGTTTTACACAATCTTAGCAGCACTGTGTGTGCATCCTTTTTAAACATGCCAGCTCTCCCCAACTGCCATATTTCCTTTTATTAACTTTTCTCTCTCTCCTTTTCTCTTTAGTCTGGCATAGTTGTACCTTCTCTTCATTGCCACCAATTTCCTCCTTTTGTGCTAACTATTCTCCCTTCTTTACAGAACTCCAGTACCTCTCAAAACAGAGCCTTCACTTTTGGCGTCTCCCTGTGCAGAACTGGGTAGGTGGGTGCCCTAACTCAGAAGGACGTATACAACCTAGGTGTGATCCATCCAGACTGAAAAATATCCATTTTTAGATTGTGCACACCAAATTTTGTACTGTCTGATATAACCTGGGCTGATTTTGACTACCATAGTACGCTGATGATGAGACACTACAAATGCTACAGGCTCTTTGCCACTGCATTCATGAACAGTGGTAAAATGTCACTTCCCACCACTGCACAGCACTTCCATACCAAGTACACAGCACGTACCAGTAAGAGGAGTGAAAATTACTGGAAAAGAAAGGGGAAACAGTGTTCTGAAAACCCCAATTTTCTCAAACAAGTTTTAATAAAGATGTGCTGCCTAGGACAGGCAAGCAACACCTGTGCACAGCCTAAACCACTCACACACTACATACCTCCAGGAAGGTAGCAAAGTAGCAATGGAGTTTCCTGCATTAATACCATACAGTCCATTCAAGACTGAGTCTGCAGAGTGAGGTACTGCTCGCAGAGGGAGAAGCAGCAACACCAGTTTAAGCATTCTGGCCAAATCCCACTGCATCTGGATAAATCCACCCTACAGTAGTTCTCTTCAGATGTAGTATTTTTCCTTTCCTGTGCCACACTGTTGTGCAAGTTGCCTGTCACTTGACACACAGTCCTTTTCAGCCCACAGGGAGCCACATCCCAGATAAACACTGGGATATTTTTTGTAAAGCACTCTTCAGTGTTTGAGGATAAAAGGCTCTTATATAAAATGCACAGTGTTGACAATGTATTTGTTTGAAGAGAAACATCCCAGCTTGAGATCCAAAAGCTTTGTGTGTACAGCACTAACTTCTACATTCATTTGGTTGCTTTCAGGCTTTTCTCATTTCCAGCTCCTTCAGCTGGCATAAATTCTTAAACACTTAGATTTGTTTGCTTGTCTATCGCTTACGAAGCAGATTTCTACTGTACAGAGCTGTGAGGCCTTGGAAATAAGCAACACTCCACAGAAATTAAGTTAAACCAACAAACTCCTTTTATTTAATAAGTTTTCCAAAAGAGGGTGGGATTTCTCACTCCAGAGCAGATATTCTGCTAGGACAGAAAGAGCAAGAAGCATATAAGAGGAAAGCAACAGGCCTTTGGAGCCAAACAGACCAATGTTAAGAGCTGCAATCCAGAAAATAACCTCTAATTTAAGTGAGAACTTCATACTGTTAAAATGCACACCTATCTACCAAGTCCAAAAGACTAATTCTGATCTTGTTTTATAGAAGTGGCAGGGTTTTTTATGAGAAGGCCTTGCACAATTTTAACCAGAGCACAGAGAAATATATATTCAGGAACTTCCCACAGTGGGCAATTGGTACAGCAAGCCCGGACTCCTGAAGCACAGGCCTCAATAGGTGTACTGAACACCTCCCTACGACATAAGCGCCTGATGAACAGACAGCACTCATCTGCATCACCACACAGCAGAAGTACAACTACATGAACCTTCCTTTAAAGATAGTAGAGTTTAATCTTAAAAATAAGGAAAGTGAAGGCTGAATACAGAGCAAGCAGCAAGCCCTAGTTTTTTGAACTAGACTGAAGAATTTCTTTCACTTTTTGTCCACATACAAAGGTATTTCAGAACAAACTTTTGTTGTATTGCCAGTATGCCTTACTAAAATGGAAATGTCTTTGTATTTGGATCTTATACAACTGTGTTGAAACTTGCCTAAATACCACTAAAAGAAAAGGGCTATTGGCAGTAATAGAAACTCCCCAAGTTACCTGCCTCTCTTTCCTGTATCAAAGGGATAAAGGAATGTCATACCAGCCCCTCCACAAGACTATCACTCAGAGCAATAATTTTGGTACTGAGATTCTGTGTTATAGCTGGAGCTTGTTTAGACTTTCCTTTTCTGTGGAAGTGACAATGCTTTGGGTTCATAAAAGCTAGATGAATTTACCTGCATGGGAAACCTGGATTTTGGCCACAAGATAAGAAGGATTCCACATAGGAAGAAGATTATATTTGGCAGAATCCCAATCCAGATTCTTCTTTTAGAGTCACAGAGGCAGTAACAGAACAGTTGGCTTCTTTAGCCACTGTAGATTGACCATTTTACTCTTAGTAGCAACACAAAGCATTCCCATAATTTATTCAGCTGCAGTGCTGTAGACAGATTTTGCTACTTAGGCCAAGTTTCTCTTCACTGACAACCCAAACTGGTGGAAGACTCTACACTATAAGCTGAAACAAGGCTCACCTGAAGATGATGTTGCTGTGTGAACTGATGTTTTTTCCTCCATACATAGAAAGAATCCACGAGGGGCGAGGCCTCACTCCCCACAGTCTGTAACACTCTTCTGAAAATGCATCCAAGTCCCATTTCTCAGGTTCAAACATGTCATGGACACCATCTGTGCAGAAGGGCATCACCATCTCAGTGCAAGCCTGAAAGAAAGGGCAGCTCAAGATGACATATTCCCAGGAGACTGTTCAATAGCTGTTAGTGTAGTATTTAAAAAAAAAAAAGCTCAAACAGCATTTGATCAGTAATTACTATCAATTACTGTCAAACTATCACAGAATCATTTACGTTGGAAAAGACCCTTTAAGGCTGAGTTGAACCACAAACCTAAAACTGCCAAGTCCACCACTAAACTGTGTACCTAAGTGCATAGTGTCTTTTAAATACCTCCAGGGATGGTGACTCCATGACTTTCCTGAGTAGCCTGTTTCAATGCTTGACATTTTTCCTAATATTCAATCTAAAGATCTCCTGGTGCAACTTGAGGCCATCTCTTTTCATTCTATTGCTTGTTACTTAAGAGACTGACTCCCACCTTGCTACAATCTCCTTTCAGGTAGCTGTAAAGAACATTAAGGTCACTCCTCAGCCTCCTCCTCTCCAGACTGAACACCCTCAGTTCCCTCAGCTGGTCCTCATAGGATTTGTGCTCCAGACCCTTCCCCGGCTCTGTTGCCCTTCTCTGGACACGCTCCAGCACTTCAATGTCCTTCTTGTAGTGAGGGGTCCAAAACTGAACACAGGATTCAAGGTGTGGCCTCATCAGTGCTAAGTACAGGAGAATGATCACTGCCCTGGTCTTGCTGGCCACACTATTGCTGATACAAGCCAGGATGCCACTGGGCCTTCTTGGCCACCTGGGCACACTGCTGGGTCATGGTCAGCTGCTGTCAACTAGCACACCTAGGTAGTTTTCCTCTGGGCAGCTGTCCAGCCACTCTTCCCCCATCCTGTAGCACTGCCTGGGGTTGTTGTGACTCAAGTGCAAGACCCAGCACTTGGCCTTGTTGAGCCTCAAACAGTTGGCTGCTGTACGTAATTTTCCAGTCTATATGAAGAGCAGAAACTCAACAACTAGCTAGATAATGAAGACACAACCTAAGCCTGCTTCTCTTTTCTGCCTTGCCCTCACCACTACAATCATACTTGGTTTGTCACTATATTTGTCATCAGTACATCAATACATCTGGCACAATATATTGACAGGTAAATGACTTGACAACTCTTACCAGCTCAAAAAAACCTCAGTGAGTTGCAATTTAGAAATGCTACTGTGCATACCTGATAGTACCAACCCGTTTGGCCCAGATTCTTTGTTGCAGTCTCAGACACATCTAAGCATAAGGCTTCTCCTGTATAATTGTAATATACATTTACTGCCTGGAAAACATTCTGCAGTAACAATTTGTCAGAGAGCCTGGGATCCTTCAAGAACTTGCAGACTTCCTGCAACAAAGAGAGAAGGGGAAGTCTAAATCTATAGGCGTTAAATATTAGGACATGCTACCTGCTAGGATATTAATTTCTTGTCCAAGTACAGTCAGAGCAATTCCAGAAAACATCTTTATATATGATGATATATCCTGAGCATTATCACAAAAAGTATACACAAATTTCATTTGTGTATGCTACTATCAGGAACCTGAGACTTTATATTTCCTGACTAAAAAATTGAAAAAAAACCAACCCAGTGCCACCTTAATATTTCATTTACCAAATTTCTCAATCCATTTACCATACTTTAAAATAGATTATATTTAATAAATAGTATTTAGCTCCTCTGTAATGAAAGACAACACATACAAATGGATAACAAAGAAGCTCCAGGTATAGATTGGGGTTTCCTGCATTTTGATGTAGGCAGCTCACAACAGAGAACAGATTAAGCAAGATACACATATATCCAGCTACTCAAAACACATAAAATCATTAAGGTTGGAAAACACATCCAAGATCATCTAGTCCACATTTTCCCCCCTTTGTCATCCTCAGAGTCATATTACAGCTTCTGTTTCAGAAAAAAGAATATCTGAACAGCTTAAATAACTCAGATTTCATACATTAGTACTGTCCAGATGAATAGCGCCTTTTCTATTTTAGATTTATACCTCAGTCAGAGATAACATGGGCAGTGGTGGAGGTGAGCCTGTTTCTCAGGTTCTGTCAGACTGACAACAAAGCAGAACTAATTTTCAAGGTGTTTATACTGCCCTTTGCAGACAGCCACGTGGACAGATGAACAGCCCTCTCTCCTCCATCAGGCAGCTTTACACAAATGAAAATTTTTGTTTTACAATTAACTGCTGCTTAGTAGCCTGAAATACTAATTTTCTTATCTGTCTTACCTACCTTACACAGTAACACAAAGTCCTGCAGGGAAATTCAGCCAGGGTCTTAATGAATAAAAACACTCCAAGAAAATGGAAATCTTGGAGAGAGCACTGTGGATAAACAGAACTGCACAAGTGAAGGTTTGCAAGTGTGAAGAGGTTCTGCTTTGAGAAGTGACCCTGCAAGGAATACATTTGTGTAGATCCACATTTTGTCTCACTAGTTTTCTCACATCAAAAAGGACAGAGGTTCAAAACTTTCTCTTCAGTTGCAAGCTCTGTCAGCTAAGCCTGGCACCAGAATCCCTAATTTTGTGCGCTTTTTTCTGCAGCATTGCTGCTACTCAAGAGCAGCTCTGCAGCACAGCTGAAGCTTTTCAATCATCCCTGACACTTTTCTTCTTCTAGGCTCCTGATACAACCTACTAGTCCTAAAGGTGGCAGTTAGTCAACCAACTAGGTCATGCACACAAAGATGTTACCCTGGTTGTGTTTTCTCAGTCATGTTGGTTCTACAGAGCCAAAAAAATAAAGGAAAAGGTGCAAGTTAGGACGGAAGGAGAGAATTAGTAAAACCAAATGGTCAATTCTACAAGATATTAGTTCTTAATTACCTGTATAGGCCAAGCTGGCAGAGGCTGCAAGAAGTCAGCTTTATAAGGATAATTCACCATAGCCAAGTTTACCCATGTTTCACTCAGCCAATTTTTCAATACAGCAGCATCCTGCAGATTTTTTAATGGGCTGCACAAATGAAATGTGCTGGAAAGCCACTGCAAACCTGCATCTTTAATAAAAAGAAATAGACAAAATAATGGTACAATACACTAAATATTAACACATAGGTCATTTATTCTGCTACTAAAAAATATTTTCATTTAGTATAACTAATTTAGTGAAATTATTCCACACACGTACAAGTATAGCAGATCAAATATTAGTCAGCACCTCACCATAACCTCCTTTCAGGTAGTTGTAGACTCACAGAATCACTTAGGTTGGAAGAGATTTTCAAGATCTTCAAGTCCAACTGAGTCCCTATCAGTCCCTATCACTGAGTCCATAAGGATTGCAGTCTTTTTCTCTACCTGAGTGTCTCAGTTAGTAAACAAACCTTTTTTTTGTAGTAATGACTATCAGGCCTATTTTGTCAGAAAGGAAAACAAGCCTTGAGGTTCTGAAGTCTGCTTTTGTCTGACCTTAGGGATGTTTGGACCTGGATTCTGCATCCCACCAGGTCTGAAAGAAGCTTGTGATACAAAAAAAGAGGCATTTAAAAAAACCCCACTAAGTTCACTTGCCAGTTTTCAGTACTAGGCATATAGTTTCAAAAAACCCAATACATACACAAGTGAAAGCCATAACACAACCCCAAATATTACTATTCTTTGAAAAAAGTATTGGTGAGGTATTACCTGTTGAGGAAAGGTGGTTAATAGCATTCCAGGAATTCCGGATGCTTTCTGAGCAGCCTGTCCCACTCTTTTTGAAATCATTGGTCACTACGCTGAAAAAAGCGCCACATGGAACCAAATCACCAAACTGCCAGATTGGGGCGGAGGCTGCCACGGCTCTGCAAAGGGACATAAAAAGATCCTGAACCACTGCAAAGTGAACTTCCATCCTCTGGCCAATACTCTCCCCACAGCCACTATCTAAGTAGCATTTCGACACTGCGCTCTAGGTGAACTAAACATAATGCTGCAAAACTATCCCATAGGTCTGTATGCAGAGGTTGCTGAAGGATATAAGTCTTGGATACTAGTACGAAGATATCAGTAAATACATGAAGTAGAAATTCAGACTCGATTAGTTTATTGTTTTTCATTCGTATCTAGCAACTAGGTCTTTCTCACTAGACATTGTGTAAAATCAAATGAAGAGAGCCACTGTCCACAAAAATATACTCTCTAGCAGAAAAAAGTTGGGGAATTACTATTCTTGTTTCCAAGAGGGTAACTAGGGCATTGAAGAGATTAAAGACCTGCCTAAAGTCATTAGGAAGTCTGGAGATGCTAAAAAAAATTAGGCGCCAAGTGAGTATTCATGTGCTGTTTTCACAAATCTAACAGACAGCTCTGAAAATATACACAATCCAGTACCTGCTGACCTACAGTTGCCTTTATTAGGCAAATGTGCCTCTTCCCAAATTCAAAGTAACTTGATTCCTTCTCCCAGTAGTGAAAAATTCAAGCCAGCTTGAATTATGGTACTTCTCCCAGAGCTGTAGTATTTATAGCATGGAAATAACAAATGCCTGCTCTGTTTAAGCAGGATGAGTACACTCACCCAACTACCACATGGGGATATTTCATCCTAAACCAGGCTGCAAGCATTCCTCCATAAGATCCTCCTATAGCTATGACTGGACTGTGATGGGCTCCTGCAATAGTCGTCTTTAAGTAGTCAACTAGTACAGCAAAGTCTGCCAGAGCTTGTTCTGATGTCAAGTAATTCAGATGCTTGGAATCCTGAGAGGAAAGAAAGCAGATTATATACAGCACGAGTGACTTCCAGCAGCAGTCTTTCTATTCCCCGCAGCAGCTATGCCTGATAACAAATAAATCTATGCCTGATAACAAATAAAATATTCTTTGCAGGTGTCCCTTGAAGCGCTAAAAAAAAAAAAAAATCTCAGATTTTTTTTTTAATCCTAGAATTGAGAGTTACAAAAATACGATAGCTGTGTTCTTCTTGCACATTCACATCTTACTCAAGTTAACACTCATTGCCCTGGCAAGGATTACAACATGCAGAATTATGTTTGTATAGAACACATTTATAAGGAAGACAAAAGATGACACTTACGCTGAAAGACTCATTCCCAAAGGGCAAAGATTCTCCATAATATCTATGTTCAGCAAACACCAACATAGCATTAAGTTCTTCAGCCACATCCCACATAAAACCCTGGTTGGAGGAAAACAGACATTGAAAATAATTGATTCAACTTGTTTAAAAGTCTCTACTTTCAGTCTAGTGTACTTCAACTCTTATTCTTGGACTAGAAAGATGGCACTATCAAAATACCAGAGAGTGCAATTTGGTTTTAAAGTATCACTGAAGTAAGAAAACACACAAAACAAGATACCCACACAGAGAAGGTGATTCATGCAAAGAAAGTATGTATATTTTAATGCTGCAAAACATTAAGCAGAATTGTTTTGTGATTATGCACAAGCAATCCTGACAGAATTCCTATGACGTGAGCTTCATCCACAGCAAATAAAAAAGGCTACAGGAGAAAAGCATGTATTTGAGTTAGGACTACATTACAGAAAACACAAAACTTGTTTGGCAATAAGCAATAATCTACAGCATTGTAATACACTTATTTTCAACTAATAAATAAGTATAACGTGATGGTACTTGTTGATAACAGCTTGTTACCATCAGTTATGGAAACAGGCAGACACAGGTTGCCTGCTGATAGAACAAAGTATGTAAGCAGGCCTTGGTTGCTTTGAGCTCGGTCTTGTTGTGTTACTGGACTTTGTACTGAAAGGCTGAAAAATACTCACACACTCCATTCTGCATTTGTATCAGCCAGGGAAGTAAAACTTCCACAGGTATTGCAGAGAACAAGAATCATCCAGCCCTCTTGATTTCCAGTCTCTTTCATTTCACTTCACACTTCTCTTAATAGTGATAAAACATAAACATCAAAACCTCCTGTTTTAGTTGGGGAATCTAAAGTACTAAGATAAGTTTAATTTGGTCCAAAATTCTGAATTCTTAGCTCAAAGCTCCTAATGGTGTTTCCTCTAGAAATTTTCTTCACTACTCTATGAAGTTAATACAGTGCATCCCTTTAGTTTCTTTGCGTTTCAAACAACACCCTGAACTCCCTAAAACTTTTTCTGTGCTTTTGTTCTGCTTCCTCTTCCTCCTATAACAATCAGAACAATCATTACTGGAAGGAAGGACTGTAATTCAAGAATTTATTTTCTACATACTGTGTTGTTGCAGAACCATGTGATGTCTCCTTCATTGCCTGTATAAAATAGTATTGGTCCATTGTCTTTCTTCCAGTGCTGATCTGCTACTAGATACCGCTGCTGGAATGTACGACTTTCATCAAATCCAAAGTGATCAATCTGTAAGAACAGGGAACAACGTGTTCAGAAAGCTAGAACTGATTCTGGAGTTCACTGGGAGTGCCAACAGTCACTTTGCAGATGGAAAACAAAGAAAAGCAAAAAAAAGGCAAAAGTTTTACTCAGATTAAAAAAAAAATTGAATTAATTTATATTCCTTATACATCAACATTCTTCTGCTTTATGAAGAAAAACAGTAAAAATTACAGGTGTATATACTGAAGGAGAAATGCTATTTTCAGCCATTAATAAAAAAAAAATCGTGCCCTTTTTATAGTATCATACTTAACGTGAGACATTCTAATATATTTACAAAGATGGACCAATCTGCTGAGAGGTCACAAAGTACCTCATGCAATAAAACCGTATCAACAAAAAAAAAAAAAATCTTCCCACAACGTTTTGAATCTTAAGAAAACCTTACTAGCCTAGTCTTGTTATTAAAAAAAAAAACCTGAAAAAAAACCCTAAAGCCCTAAAAAACAAACGAACAAACAAACACCAAAACATCAACCCACAACTAAATAAAATGCCACCTCTTCCTTCTCTCCTTCCTTTGGATAATTTCATTCTCCATAAGCATGACATTTAAACAGATTCTTTTAGAAAATGAGTTTTGGTTGCTTTTTTTGTTTGTTTCTTTGTTTGTTTTTTTGGGGAGTTTATTTGTTTGGGGTTTTTAATCTTAGAAAACACTATTTCTCTGTAGTTCTTGTACTCTTGGCACATTTTTCAGATAGTTTTGTGGAGCACTTCTCCTTTTCCTCGTTGCAATTTTCACTAGTCCATATAACCTCCCCAATTCTTTCCATTGCCCTACAAATATTGCAGGCCTATACATCATATCCCTTTACCCAAACCCCACAGTGTTAGCTTTATTTCCTCATTAGAAATTCAATTTCTAACATCAGTTTTTAAACTTCTACTCACACTACTTTGTATTCACTATCCACCTCAACCCTTCCCCAAGCATTCATCTATACTGGAAAGTTTATCAATTTCTTTTACAAGGTAACTCCCCACATGGGTATAATCTTATTCTGGAATACCCATGCAGGCCTTTACTATAAAATATAAAAAAAAAAAAAAAATCAAACCAAACCACGGAACTACTCCAGTACTCCAGAAGACCTATGCTACTTAATTACCACAGGTCATCACTGCTTTTATTCATCAGCTAAAGATGACCTGTAGCTTCCCAGTTTTGACTTCCATCAGCACACATCCAGCTTTTTCTTTCCTAGCTCTTGCAGGCAGTAACAGCCTGACATCTGCTGGCTTGAGGATCTCTGCTCAACCACCCATCCGCCTTTACACCCACAACTCTGTCAAATCTCTCACATGCTCCAGGAACCAACCTTTCACATTGCCTGTTTTGGAAAAATCTGCAAAGTAATGTTGAGAAGCAGCAAATCACACTTGCTGCTTTGTAGTGACCTGTCTGCTAGGCAGATTCCTCCAGACAGCTCAGGAAAGCCTAACTCTTGATCTGCAGGATCCAGCTACTCCACACCACGTACTTATATTTGCTTTGGGTCAAAGAGACCACATGAACTTATTTCAGATATACAATCTGCTGCAGAATGTCTTTTCTAAATTCTTTCAAAGCTTTTGGACTGAAGTGGGAAGCCATGTGCCACAGCTCACTGCTACGACAGCAGGAGCAGTCAGAGGTCTGTGCATAGTCTGAACACAAGAGACAAGGTCTTTGCCCCCATTAAGTATCTTCATTGACTGCTTCCAGACCCAAGCAAAAGTAATTTATGTATGTTCTATAGTTTTCCTCAATGGGACCATTTACTCTTACTCGTAAGTACATGCTGATGTTACCATTAAACGGCTCTTTCACTGAACTCAAGTGCTGACAACATATGCTGGGATTATTTTACACTGACAACTCACCTGCTCCTTTTCCATTTGCACAGTTAATTTTAGTTTCATTTTCTACATCAAGCACAATCAAGAGTGATTAGATGTAGAAAGGCAGAACAAGGTCAGCAAATGAAAAAAATCTTTAGTCAAGACCTTGGGACGATTAAAAAGATGGATCAGTTAGGGCACATTGAAAAAGTCAAAGTATAGTTTAATACACTCCAACACTATTAGAAAGTGCAACTAATACATATTTTGTTCCAGGTCTGTTTGTAAAGGGGACAAGTCTCTTTTTCTATTTAAATTTTCTGGTTAGGCTGCTAGCCAGAGATAGGAAAAACAAGCTCATGTGTTCTGTTTGCCTTTAATGGAATCCTCTAAAATTAAACATTTAGTTTTAAAACTTGATTCTGCATCCTTTCTGCCTGCAGCCAGAGTGCTAACTACAAAACCACACCATGAAAAGTATTCAACTATGCAACAGAAAAAAGAAAAAAAAAAGAGTGGAGGGGGAAAACTAAACAAAGCAAACAAACCTCCAAAACAAACAAACAACCCCCACACACCAACCAAAACAAAAAACAAACAAAAACACAACAAAAAACCAACCAAACAAAAAAACCCACACAAAGAACCAGAAAGAAAAAAATTTTGGCACCAGGCTGAGCTTATCCAACGAGGTATTGTGCAGAACAGATTCTAAAGCCCATTTTACTGTTCCTTTCCACAGGTACTGGAAAAGTAGGATAGTGATACTCTGATATGCATATATTTTCCCAAGTTAAGGCTACTTTTCTTTAAAGATATGATTTACTGTGTTTTTTCTCTGATGTGATCTGTCAATCTACTTCCCCAAAGCAAACCCCAAAAGCCCAATGCTTTAGTGAGTCTGCCTCTCAATACCAAGAGGGAGAAAAGTACAGGTATTTAAGTTCTTTTTTAGTTACCACATTGATCAAAGTGCCACGTTTCTCTGTCTTGACTCTGACACACGTTGGAGACTCTCTCATTGCCATCAGCCGCTATGCTTTCCTACTCTCCCTCAGTCTGTAACAATGTGATAGTCTTGCAGCAATAAACTGCCTCTGTTCATCATATTCATAACACATCAAAACATGGACACATGTAAGATCCCTGGCAGCACAGTCACAACTCCAGGCTTCTCCAGACAAAAAAACCCCAACCAAAACAACCAAACAAATAAAAAAATGACAAGTACCTATTACTCAACTGAAGAGCAGAAACTCCTTTATTGCTAGATGATGGGGCTTTATTCCTGGTAGTAACTTGTGGTTGCAAAGGTAAGACACATAACACAAGTAAAAAGAAAAAAAACCCCAAACCTAATGATTGTAAAGCAGACAGAGACTGCAGAGCAGACCCTAACTGCTGGTTATTCAAAGAAATTCAAAGAAATGCTGAATCTAGAACATCAAAATCATGGTGTGGAGGTGTCCCCAAGGAGTATCTCCTCACAAGAGTAAAAACTGTGTGAAAATGTGCCAGGTCAGCGTGAAGAGGCACGAGAATCAATATCAAATCGTGAAGTCAAAGGTTTGGACACGCAGGGAAGCTGTAGTTCAGGAACAGCAGATGGAGCTGTCGTGTAGGCAAAGTGAGATGCAGAGCTGCACACAGGAGGTGCTGGTCTCATTCAAACAAGGGTTTGCTTTCACTATTCTTTATCGAACAGGTATACAAACAGGAAATAAACCCCAGTAACTGCGTGAAGTATACTGTACAATACAAACCAACCAGACAGGTTTTTTGCCTTTTTTTTCCTCCTTAAGTCAGATTTCATTAAAAAGCTGAACCAGAACGGTTCCCCCCCCAAACTTATTCAAAATGAGCAAGATAAAGGCAATGACTTTTGCAACCAGACTTAATTAGAACAGACCTCAAAGCAAAAGAAAAAAAGGGGTTTAGTACAATACCTTAACTGCTGGTTAAAACAATTCAATGATATACTAGCATATACATGGTTTTTCTAAATACAATCTTCATAATTACAACTATGGTCAGGATGTCAGTAAAAGGTCCAGAGCAACCTAACAGAACTCTGAAATTGGCCCTGGTTTGAGTGGAAGGTTCGATGAGATGACATGCAAAGTTCCCTTCCAAAGCTGAACTACTCTGGGATTAACCCAAAACAGTCACTCAGCCGAAAGTTTTAAGTTTCTATACATGTGACTACCTAGCAAGTTTGGCTAGAACTAAGAACACAGTCATCACCTGTGATGCAACAGCAATGTTTTACAAATGAGAATATGATCTACTGACACAGAAACAGTCATTCTGATACTAACAAAAGGAAGGATAAAATTAGAAAAAGAAGCTCTGAAAGTGGTAAATTATTAATAAGTTTAAGAGAAACTCTCCTCAGATGAGGCAGGCAGGATAGGAAAGCGAACAATAAAGTTTCAGTTACATGTACAAAAACCTTTGTGAACACTGTTTGATTAAGAAAGCCTTGAATTTTCCTGCACTGTCTTTGAGACAGTTTGAGAGACAGATTGCTCTGTTGGAAGACTGCAGCCACTACCTGCAGCACAGCAGCTGGAAACTGCACTCCCGGAGTTGGATTTCAAACAGCAGTAGGTAGCACAGGGCATTCTGCCCACAAGGCTGATTAGAGCTCTAGACTGAAGGCTCAAGTCAGCAGCTTTGATCCTTTAGCTCAGAGAAACTTTCTACAGAGAAGAGCAACTCAGCTCAGGAGAAAGAACCTTCTCTAGACTGGTTTATTGAACAAACTCATACTGGAAGAAAGGGCCAAACTCCACCTTGCTGTTTGAAATATACAGCACATTTCTATCTCTTTAAGAGCACACTTCTCACATGCTTTTGTTAAGCTCTCAAAGATGACTTTTTTTTAATGTGCTTTTTTGTTGTTTTGGAAATCCATTAAAATAGAACAAGCCACTCTGCCACACATTTCCCCTGGGAGGAGACAAAAAAGGCACAGCAGATGTTATTGTACAGATGTTAACCTGTTTAATGGACTTCTGGAAGTATTCAGGAACTATAGCAATGAGTAGAGTACAAAGACAAAACAGGACATGTGGGCTAAAACCCGCTTCCTTCTCAGCAGCACCTTAAGGTCATCAGTGATTACAGAGACAGGGAAG